AGCAAGCAGTACTCAAACACCAGCTAGATGTCCTACCATTCAACTCAATTCTGACTTGAGAACTTGTGGGATAATGAAAGAGAACTCCCTTAGAAGGTGGAAGGTGGAGCAAAGGACCACAGAATACAATGTAGTGAGGGGGGTGGGGATCTACTACAGTTCAAAATTGGGGCCTAATCAAGGAATATCCCCACCCTAGTGTAGAGACCCTTGCAATGTCTGCCAGGTAGGTTTCCAGAATTGCCACAGACTGTTGACTACTATCTGAATCTTATTCTTCTCCTTTTTGAATGATAGTGTTTGTTGTGGTTAGCTTATTCCTGTTCTACCATTATATATTAGATATAGAGGGGGTAGAGGAACACAGATTTTTTTTTTTATTTCATTCATATTCCTCTATATCAAGAGGAGATACGTCCCGACCCAACTACTATGAACTTGATACTGTGATAAGATAGAAGAACTTTTGGGTTATTTCCCCAGGAAAAAAATATGCATATATTTTGCATGTGGGAAGAAAAGTAAACCTAATACCTAATGATCAGAAGGGCTGACGGTGGTAGTTACTAGTCTTGCCTGCTCATGCTTCAACCTTTGGGGCACTTTCTAGGATCCTAGGGAGTGGTAGGGTGGTGTCATGTAATTAGTTTCAGCAAATGGGTTGTGAACATAAGAGAACATTTAAGCATGTAATTGCCATTGTACGTTCCTCCAATGCACTTTTTCCCCCCAATATATAGAGTGGCAACCTTCAGCCTGGGTTCCCAAGTCATGGTGAGAAGTAAATTCCCCTGTAACCCATAATAAACAGGTAACATCAATAAGAAATAACCCTTTTTATTTTAAGCCACTATGATTTGGGGGGTTGTATGTTATTGCAGAATATATATTGTTCAGAGTAGCCTATCCTGTCAAAATACCTATTTATTGTCTGCCTCCTGCATTAGAAAGTAGGCTTAATGAGAACCAGAATCTTGTCCATCTTGCTATAGTTTATATGCCAGATATTCATCACTACACTGGTACATAGTTGCTGCTCAATAAGTATTTCTTGAATTAGTGTAGGGGTGGATTCTCTTAGCATAAATAAGCTTTTTGTTTTAGTAACAAAAACCTTCTGACAAAAATTTCTGTATCAGTCAAGATTGGCTCAGTGTTGCTGCAGTAACAAACACCAAAATCTCAGTGGCTTGAAACAACAAATGCTTAATTATTATCTTACTACACATCCATTATGGGATGGTAGGGGAGCTCTGCTCATTCTAGGCCCTCAGAAACCCAGACTGACTCTAGCCACTGTCCTGAAAGTCACTGGTTGCTATAGCAGAGGGATTAAAGATCTCTGAAGGATCTCGCATTGACTCATATTACTTCTGCTCATCACCAAAGTGACTCATATTACTTCTGCTCATAACTAATAGGCCAGAATTAGTTACATGACATTACTCAACCACCAGGAAGCCAGGAAGAGCAATTCTCTCTTGTGCCCAGGATGGTGAACACAAGGAAACATTTCTGGAACACCATGAATACCTAAAAGAAAATCAATAAACACAAAACTAATGAAAATATGTGTGAAAAGTGAGGTGAAGGGGAAATAAAACTGGGCTATATGATAGAAGTAATTGAGGGACCTACTTAAAGTGGGTAGTTTGAGAGGTCTTTCGGAGGAAATATTTGCATTAAACCTCAAAGGTCAGGAACGAGCAAGAATTAAAAGAACATTCCAGGCATGAAACAACAAGCATTAGTGGCCCTAGGGTAGAAGGAGCTTGGTTGTTACTGAAACTGGCAGAAGATGGGATCAATGGGAATCAAAGGAACAACACAGGTGGGAGGGGTATGTTATGAGATAAGAGAGACCATCAGAGTTCGATCACAGAGGGCCCAAGAGCCATAACAGAGAACCAGGATTTTATCCTAAATGCAATAGAACTTAGGACAAGAAGTATGTATTTGTTTTACGTTTAAAAATAAAATTAACTCTGGCTACATGTGGAATTACTTGGAAAAGGGCAAGAGTGAAACTGGGAAGACCAGCTAGGAGGCTATTATAGCTGTGCAGACAGATGATAGGGCCAGGAGGGGCTGTGTGTGGGGGAGGGGGAGCCATAGTCCAAAGTGAAATGGCAAGAAGTGAACAATACAAGATATATATCTTGTATTGAGAGAGAGAGAGAGAGTAGAAAGAGAGAGAGAGAGAGAAAGAGAGAGAGAGATTTTTTTGTTAATCCTCACTCGAGGATATTTTCCCATTGATTTTTTAGAGTGGAAAGGAGAGAGAAACATTGATGTGAGAGAGATATATAGATTGGATGCCTCCTGCATCCACCTCGACCAGGATGGGAATAGAACCTGTAGCCCAGGCATGTGCCCTTGACCAGGAATGGAATTCATGACCCTTCAGTGCATGGGCCAATGCTCTAACCACTTAGCAACACTGCCCAGGGCAATTGAACTCAACTTTAATTCACATTTTAAAGGTGACTGGGTATTTTAAAGAAAAAATGAGGGAATGGGATGAGCAGGGTCTCAGTAGAGTCAGGGAAGTGAAAAATTTTTAATGGTTTGTATAAATGCAGTTAGGCCAGGGATGACTGCTAGCTGGCAGTTATCTAAGTTAGGATTCTACCCTCCTACAGAGACTGGCGGATAGAAGCACTGTCCTCAGGTGTTGGCTGAACAAAAGGTCAAAAGAAAAAAGGCAGCTTTGAGTTTTCTCAAGCAGGAGCTTTAGGGGAGTGGGCAAGGACCATCTTAGTGATGTGGTTTTGAGCTGTTGGGAACTACATTAGTGTTCGTTCAAGTCTTGTGGACCAAGGTTGAGGCCTAGTTAGGAGAAGACCCAGAGGAACCTGGCTAGAGTTTAGTCAAGGAAAGAATCTTTGTCACCATGTTTCTGGTTTTAATGAAAGGGTGATTGGCGGTGTCATTCACAAAGACAGGGACATCTAAGGGACAACTAGGTTTAGAATCTAGAGGAAACAATCCTATTTGGGATATGTTAAGTTTGAGACACTTAAATGGGTAAGAAAAGTATAAGAATGGATCACACAGAAGTCTGGGCTGGAGCTATAAATCAAGAGCAGTCAGCGTGATGTAACTCAGAGATCATGCAGGCGAGAGTGGGAGGTAGTGAAGAGAGGGAGACTCCGGATTTGCCTAACAAATTCCTCCTTGAGACTTCTTCCAGAAGCGTATCATTGTTAGGTATATGGTTATATTTCTACAGGTCACAGAGTAAATGAACAGAAGAACAATGTTGATGTTAAATGTTTGGAGAGTTTTTTTATTTCAAACCTATCTCTATTTGTTATTTCTAAATGAGAGCCCCCCAAATTATATTTATTGAACACTATTGTTATCCCCATTTTATATGCAAAACTGAACATCCTTATGAGTGTTATGAAGTCAGTCAGTTTGCCCAAGGTGACACAAAATTAGTAAGGGTTATGTCCTCTATTCAGAACTAAGCAATCTAGCCCTGGCCGGTTTGGCTCAGCGGTTGGAGCATCGGCCTGCGGACCAGAGAGTCCCAGGTTCGGTTCCTGCTAGGGGCACGTACCAAAACAAACAAACAAAAAAACACTAAGCAGTTTGCTTCTAGAATCTGTGTTCTGAACCCATATACTATATGGCAATAAGCATGGTAAAGTAGTTTGGTATATTTGTTTAGTAAATAATAGACTTTCTATATACATAAATAAAATCTTTCCAATAAGAATTTTTACTGGACCTCTCTATGTTCATGTGTGCATGTCTGGATCATTAGGGTATTAGAGACAAATTCTAGGAAGAGTAGACCAGCTTCACTAGACCAGTAACCTAAGCTTCAAACCCTTCAAAACAAATGAACACAAAAGATTAAAAATGCAATTGTACAGAACAGTTAAGTTTGTTGTGCCCGATGGGGTCAAACTGAAGTCCTAATCCTGGCGATATCTGTTGTCAGGGAGATGAGGACAAAATTTCCCCAACACACACTGGTTTTCCCTCCACAGAAATTATGCATAGTACTGATATACTAAACTCACATGGTTGTCATAAGTATTAAAGAATTCCTTGTAGCCCGACCTGTGTGGCTTAGTGGTTGAGCGTCAACCCATGCACCAATAGGTCGCTGGTTCCATTACCGGTCAGGGCACATGTCCAGATTGTGGGCCCGATCCCCAGTGAGGGGCATGCAGGACGCAGCCAATCTGTGGTCTTGCTCATTAAAGTTTCTATCTCTCTCTTCCTCTCCCTATAATATCAATAAAGAAAAAAAGTTTAATCCTCACCTGAGGACATTTTTTTGTTCAGGTAGAGTGGGAGGGAGAGAGAGGAAGAGAGAGAGAGAAACATCGGAGTGGCTGCCACCCGCACGACCGACCAGGGCCGGGGACAAACTGCAACCAAGGTACATGCCCTTAGCGGGAACCGAACAGGGTCTCTCGGGACCGCAGGCCGACGCTCTAACCGCTGAGCCAACCGGCCAGGGCAAGAAAAAAAGTTTAAAAAGAATTCCTTGATCGCAGGAATTAATGTATTTCATTTTTTGCTTTTTAAATATGTCCTAGGAGCCTGAGAGATGCTTGACATCCCACAAAAGAGAGGGGGAGAAAAAGAAAAGGAAGGAATTCAAATCAAACAGTCCTAATGGAGACTTTTAGGTAAGCGAGATGCCCTCCATGGTTTGTTGGGTTTTTTTTTTTAAGTTTATTCCATTTATGGTGTGCAGAAACGTCCTGATCCCATCTGAAATACTCTTCTCTGTCCCTTCACTCACTCTGGATCCCGGTCCTCCTGCCTCCTCCACTGGCCTCCTGAGCCTCCCTCGCCTCCCCCTCCTCCCCGTTGCCTGCCTAGCGGGCCTCGTCACTGCGCCTGCGCACACAGGTTGCGCACACAGGTTGCTCCGCCAAGGGGCCTCGGGGCGGGGTCGCAAGCACGCACAGGGTAAGAGGAAGAGGAAGTTGGGGGAGGGTCCTAGCTGGGAGTGAACCGGAAGTGTAAGCGCTCCTGCTGCTTCTCGGCCAGGCGGAACCTGCTCTGTTGGGCCCGGTGGCTGCAAAAGAACTTTCTCCCGCCCCAACGGTCGCCGCGGCCAAGCGCCTTGCCCGCCTGGCAGCCTCCCCCGCCTCCTCCTCCTTCCCCCGCGGCTCTGCGCGGCCCTGTCTCCCGCTCGCCCGGCGGTGTCCGCTCGCTCCCGCCTCTGCCCCTCGTCGTCTGCCCCGCCAGCCGGCCTGCCCCGCTGCAGCGATGTGTGACAAGGAGTTCATGTGGGCCCTGAAGAACGGAGACTTGGATGAGGTGAAGGACTATGTGGCCAAGGTAAGCGGCGACGGTGGAGGGGCGCGAGGACGAGGTGGGATGGAGAGGAGGCCGAGGAGGGCTAGGGTGGGGCGGGGGGAGAAAGACCTGCGTGGAGGTGGCAGCGGGCCGAAGGGGAGCCCGAGAGCGGCCGAGCGCCAGGAGGGTCCGGATCGCAGGCGGACCCGGGTCGGGTAACCTGTCTGCTGCAGCCGGCTTCCTGCGCTCGGACCCGGGGGGAGGGGCGGGGCGGTAGCCGCTCTTTCGGCCTCACTCGGGAGCCCCGAGCCTGTGGGTTTGGCCTGCTCCTAAGCCAGGGCTACTCAAATCTTTGTTTGAATGAAGTGGGCCCCCCACCTTGAGCCTGCCCATGACGGGGTGAAGTGACTTCAGTGGCGAGACTTCCGAAGAACTTTCTGTGTTTGAACTGTGGGCCCGTTCAAAGAATTGAACGCGTTCGGTGATCGTGAACCAGAGCACCCAAAATAGCAATGGTTAGTTAACATTGTGAAACTCGGTCTCACTTCGCCGCCGAGTCTGAACCTTGGGTGTGGCCTTTTTCCTCTCTCCCGTCCACAAGTACAGATTTGCTTCGAGGGGGAGGGATGTCAGCGAGCATCTGGGAGAGTTTAAGATAATCCGGGGAGTTTTCCGGCGAGCACGTTAACTGGAGTTACTCCGTCTTTCTCCGTGATTCCACCCGAAATGCTTGCACGTGTAAGAAGAGATGATGCAGTGTAGTAACCGTATGTTTGAGGGTAAAATCGTGATGAAGACAGCGAGTCTCAAAACTAGACTCCAAATATTAAACTGAACCCCCATTGTGGTAGATTGGTAAAATTCCAAGCCGGCCTGCCACTGGACCCTAAAATTGTACCTTCTGTGATTATGAGAGAACTCACATGTGGTTTTGGTAGGATGCTAATAAAAAAAAACAAATCTGGGACAAAAGTATAATTTTATGACATAACCGTGGAGAGTGCCTTGCTCACCAGAAAGTGAGAACCCAGTCTGGATTTTAGTCCTTCAGAGGGTCTGACCACTACTGCGGGGCTGTGTTTTTGCTTCAGAGACCTGTGTTAGGAAGCACGCAGAAACGGAGTTTCTTAAAACTTGTAGGATTGTGCAAGGCAAACTGCTAATAGTTTTTACTCTCTGTAGTATGACTACAGTTTAGCCTTTTTGCATGCAACTTATCTGCTTAGTTGTTATTTGCAGGGGATTTTTAGGACACTATTTACTTCCATCTCAGCTAGTGGCTGATTTACTGGATGTTTCAGTGTAAGACTGTAGGGGAGATTACTTGGAACACTTCCATCAAGGGTGCACTTCCCAGGGTGGGACACCGCAGTACTCTGAGAGTGAGTGGGCTTTTGTTTTTCTGTTGCTGTGGAACCTTGAAATATGAAACGTTGATAAGTACTGCGCTTACAGTTACAAAAAATAACACACTTTTTATATAGTGTCTTCCTGGCACATTATTTTGTATCTTCCTTGTGAAGTAAGCCCTTTTATTAGTCCCATTTTACAGATAAGATTACTGAGACGCAGGATCTTTAAGAAAGAAAAACTAAAGTTACAGAAATAAAAAATGATGAAGCAAGAACTAAACTGCTGACTCCAAAACTTAGACTCTAAAAGTTTAATTGTTCCATGCATTGTCTCACAATCTAAAACGTAGTTGCAAAGCATCTGATACCAAGATTTTTAGTAGGACATACCCAAGGTCCTCATCCAGGGAGATAAATTATACATAAAGAATTGTCAATCACACGAACACATTTATGGAAAAGTATGGGCCAATAACAAGGGATTAATTTGTTTTCAGTTAGTTTTTTAAATTAGGTCATTATGTCCAGTTTGATTTGGGCCTTTTCCTATTACTACTACACTGCCTGCTCTCATTAACAAAACGAGATGTGCACAAAAGAGAGGGTAGACATTCGAAGTAAAAGGAACTATTAAGAACTTTATATTCAAAAAGATTGGACTGTGATGGAATCCTATGAACAGATCATTGAGCTTTTTCCTTTCTTAGTTTTTATTAAGTAACTTGAGTCTCTTAAAATATTTTTTGCTTTGTTAATGAAAAATAACAAAAAAACGAAACAACCAGAAATAGCACTCCACATTTTACTGACTGAACTCCCTTACTGTGCCTGTTCACTCGCAAGTCCTTAGAAGTTTCTTCTGCTCAAGCAGCCATCTTCCCTGCTTATTCATTCACTCACCTTTTTCATCCACCAATTAATGAATGCTCGTTACCATTTTCTGAGTTTATGTAGTTCATTTATCTGACTGTGTGCAAAGAAAGTATATTTTTAAAAACTGGACTTGTCTAGTTTTCCTCCCAAGGGTCAGAGTCTTTAAAATACTCTCCTCTGTTCTCCTGTGAAGATCTCTCATTATTTTTTTTTCTTTATTGATTTTAGAGAGAGATAGAAACATCAATGAGAGAGAACATCGATTGGCCACCTCCTACATGCCCCTCTCTGGGGATCTGACCCATAACCTGGGCTTGTGCCCTGACTGGGAATCGAACCAGCATCCTCCTGGTGCATCCTGTTGGTGCATGGGTCAGTGCTCAACCACTGAGCCACACCAGCCGGGCAAGATCTCTCATTATTAACATAAGTGAAACATTTTAGTAGTCTTTTTTTTTTTTTAATTAATGTTTTAAAAAATCAGTAATTGTACTTTTCTACCTACTTCTGACTTCTCTACAGGTATCTGAAGTATGTACAGGCATAAGTTGTTGGTTTTGGGTGAGTTCCTGAACTCTGAAAAATGAATTCAGAATTCCCAAATCATTGAAAATTGTGTGGTTCTAAACGGGGGGAAAACAGCACATAAAGAAAAATTTATTCCGTATTATATGTTTATCTGTAATAAAACAACACCTGACATATTTTGACTTCTTGACTGACCCAAAGACCATATTTATGACTAATTTATTGGGTATCTTTCCGGTCCCAGGCACTTTGCTAGGCCTGGCATGATGGTAAAGAAGTTGGACACGATACTTGGGAAACTTAAGCATCTATATTCAGCAGATCTATGTGGAAAAGCTATCATACTTTCAAAGTAGTATGCAAGTTATAACTAACAGCTCACACAATATTGAGTTTATCCAATTGGAGAAGAAGTGAACACCAGAAAGTAAGATATTCATAAGCAGCAGTAGTAGATATTCATAGCCTTATTTTCAATCTATATGCTTCCTCTGGGTGACATTATTTTTGCCTTCATCTTCTATTTCTGCCTTTATGTTAATTTCTCCCATTGAAATTAATTCAGCCCTGACTCGTGCTGCAGAATGAATACCTCTCTTCAGATAAATTCCAAATTTAGCACCCATTTTTTTTTCAAAAATTATTTCTTTTGTCTCCATTTTGACTAATGGCACCATGACACAACCATTTGTCCAAACTAGAAATTGGAGTATTTTCCCAAATTTTTCTGAGTGTTATCAAGACTACCTTCTCAGTGTCTCTCATACCCTCCTAACTCCTCTTTTTTTTTTCTTAGAAAATTACTATTTTTTAATGTATTTATTGATTTTTTTTTTTTTTAGAGAGAGAGGGAAGTGGGGGGAGATAGAAACAGCCATGAGAAACATCCATCGGCTGCCTCCTGCACGCCCCCTACTGGGGGTCAAGCGTGCCACCGGGGCATGTGCCCTGACTGGGAATCAAACCCAGACTTCTCAGTCCATGAGATGACTTTCAGTGGACTGAGCCACACCCACTGGGTTTACTCCCCATTCTTATTGCTACTACTTTACATTAGTAGTTTCCTCTTTCCTGCCTGGACTGTATTTTCCTTGACTGTTGTTTTTCCCTCCTTGCTGTCCATTTGCACATTGTAGCTGGAAGGATCTCTCTATAATGTGAATCTGAGCATGTTATCATTCAGCCAACCTCCTTCACTACCTTAAAATACTTTTGTGACCCCACCCCCTGCCTTTTTCTTTTTTTAAATGGTCAGGTCAGCTCCTCCTTAGTTTGGCATACTAGGTTGTTCTGACATGGCCTATCCCTGCCTTTCTAAACTCGCCTCTCTACACACAGTGCTCTGCTTCAAACCCCACCATGCTGTTTCTTACTTGTATGCCTTTCCATGTGCCCTCATCCTCCTTGACCTAGTCTGCTCACCTCTATCCCTAACCCCCAACCTGGAGAGCTATTTATCGTCTTGGCTTAAATATCACCTCTTCCAGAAAAACAGTTTGACTTCTACTGGTGCCTGATTCTTTTAGTGTTTTCACTTATCAAATTACTGTGATTTTGTTTACATGTCTGTTTTTAATTAGGCTCTGAGCCTCTGGAGGGTAGATGTTATATTCTTTTTCATCTTCGTATTTCCAGTATAGTGCCAAGGAATTTTACACATTAAAAGCATATGTTCCAAGTAAGAAATGCTTTTTATTCGTAACTTAGCTACAGTTACAGCATACTTCATTAGTTATATATTGATAATTACCATTGACAGGATTGCTTATATTTTACTGCAAAGGGCTCTGCAAGTTTTCATTTTTTTTTCCCACGGCATTTCAATATAAGTAATAGTGTTCCCATTTTAAGGATGAGGAAATTGAACTTAGAGAAATTAAGTAACTTAACAAGGTCACTGAGTAAGTAGTACAGCTAGGATTTAAACCCAGAGCTATCTGAATTTACAGCCCGTATATTTTCACCATGTCTACCTGCCCTGAAATGGTTATCTGGTTTCTTAGCTCATGGTGGGTTAGAATCAGCACACCAAGAAAATTTGAAAGGGGCTTGCAAGAGGCAGGTACAACTTATCTCTGACTATGAATGAAGAGTAGAAAAATGGCTATAATTAAACTTTTTTTTTTTTTTTAATCCTCACCCGAGGATATTTTTCCAAATTTGTTCAGATAGAGTGGGAGGGGGAAAGAGAGAGAAACGTCAAGATACACCAACTGGTTGCCTCCTACATGACTCCAACCAGAGCCGGGAACAAACTGAACCACAACTGAGGTTCGTGCCCTTGACAGG